TGGGGTTGTGTCCAATAGTTAATTAAAATATTTTTTTATAATAATTTATTAAAATTATATAATTTTAAAATAATATATATATTTTTTAATTTTAAGAGTTAAAATGAATATGTACTAATCTTATAAAATAAATAATAAAATATAAGTTAAAGCCTGAAGATAAGTACCGGATGCACTTTTTCTTCCCATAATAATGCTAGTAGAAAGCATCCCATTGGCAGAGGCAAAAAGATAAGATTTTTAATTAAACAGGAATTTCCTGCTCTGCTAAGAGAGATAGAGGTGGAGAGAGAAGGGATATGGTGGATGGGCTAAAGAAGTAAAAGCTTAGAAAAGTGGGTTTTGTCTTGGTTTTGTTTGATGAGCCTTGGGAGATGTCAGGTGGTGGATGCAGCATAGTCTGGTTCAGGAGAGATCTGAGAGTGGAGGACAACCCAGCACTAGCGGCTGGTGTGAGAGCAGGAGCTGTTGTTGCTGTCTACACATGGGTACCTGAAGAAGAGGGCCACTTCTATCCTGGGAGGGTCTCCAGGTGGTGGCTTAAGCAGAGCTTGGCTCATCTTGATTCCTCTCTCAGGAGTCTTGGAACTTGTCTCATCACAAAGAGATCTACTGATAGTGTCTCTTCTCTTCTGGAGGTTGTCAAATCTACTGGTGCTACTCAGCTCTTCTTCAATCACTTGTATGGTTAGTTTATTTTCCTTTTTATCTCCTCAACCTTGTTGTTTTTATTTTATTGAATTGTTTTTTTTAAACATTAATTGAAATATTTTAATGAATTGTTTTGTCTGTTTATTGTTACTGCACGTTGATGTCAAAGTTAAATTATTTTTTTAAATGTTGATTTTGCATAGGAATCATTGATCATCTGGATTGAAAATGGAGCCTTGAGGATATTATTTTAGCTCCTTTATACTTTTCCCTGTTCCCTGTGATTCCATGAATTTTCTGTTGGGCGGCTTTCAATAATTAAAAAATATATTTTTTTTGTTATTTATTTGTTTGCTTTCTTCTCTGATTGGATGGTTGAATCTTCTCTAAAGATGTTAATTAT